AGTTTTTATAATTATTTAACTTTCTTTGAATTGGTTTTGTTCACAAAGTGAGGTAATTACCTAAATCCAGGTCTTTTGCTCATTGGGATTCTCTGGATTTTTTTATTTTTATTTTTTGGCTTTTTTCTCTTGATATTATTAGATGGGTATTTTTAAAATTGTATTTTATTAATACCATTATTATTAATTGAGTGAATTATTGGGTTCAGATTTGACAGATAAATTTGCCTTCTTTCTTCTTCTTCTTTGTGAGATGTAGAGCAGATGTTAATGGCGGAGGATCAAGAAAGAGAGCACAGGCTGTTTCATTGGCAGGATTTTTCAACTAGAAAATTGGTAATTTTTTACTTAATTTTTCTTTTCAAGTTCATGTCCTATTTATTTATTTTTTCATTTTCTTAATTTTGAAATTCAATTATTGCCTCATTAACTCATTATTGACTTGGTATTATACTTTTAACTGGATTTAATGCATGCCCAAGGATCAATATATATAAGTTTTAGATATTGGCTCTTGATGTATGTCCACCAATTTCTTTGTTTATACTGTTTATAAATGTTTGATTGGTTGATCACTGGTTAATTTCTATTATTATTACTTCACATCGGTTATTTGAAAAAAATTGCCACTTCGATGTTGATCGACTTGCCGACATGTCGAGCTGAAATGGCCACGTGTTATCTTATATTATTGGTTACATTAGCGATTAAATTTGGGATATCACTTTGGAAGCATGATATATTGGTGTAGCTACGAGAGGCTATTCGTTTGTGGTATAGAGTATATTTAGAGTCTATCTGGTAACGTTCTCGTTTCTTAGTTTTATCTTTTGTTATTATTTGTTAGTTGTTTTTTTATTTTTTTATTTTTATTGAGAAAAAAAACAGAAACATGTTTCGTAATCATGCTTATTAATTTTAAATTTAAAAGGTAAAAGTTTGGGGTTTAGAATAATATTAAATATTTTTATGTTATTTATTTTTTAATATTTATTAATTAAATATTAAATCATTTTTTAATTAAATATTTAAATTTCTTTTATGTTATTTATTTTTTTAATATTTATTATGCAGTTTATAAGTCAACAATAATAGAATAATATTTTTAGTTATGTTTGAAAAAAATAGAAACGGAAATAAGAAATTTAATTTTGTTTCTAAAATTTTTACACAATTTTGAAAACATTTCATAAACGAGAAATAAAAACACAACTTACACCAAAAGATTATGTTTCTAAAAAACTGGAAATCAAAAATAAAAAACAAGAAACAAGAATATAGAAACGTTATGAATCAGGCCTTTAGTTACCATTTCAGAGCTTCGACTTGCTTGGGTACACTATAAGCCATTCTGTCAACGGAATTAAATAGGGTTCTTTTTTTCTCTTTTCGAGTTTCAATAAATATGAAAGACAATAGTTTTCTTATTCATATCGAATAAAGTTCGTTTGTTACAATATTTGATTATTGGTGAGACCAATTTCATGATGTTTTTATATTTACTCTTATAGTACTTCTTGATTGCCTTTATATGGTTTAAATAATTCCAATGAACTTCTTTATAAGTTAATTTTGTGAGGAAAATTAATACTTCTAGAGAAATCTGTGGCGTAGTTTGTTCTAATCTATGGAACAAAAATCTTTAAACCTGTAATGTGGTAAGGTGGGAATTATATTCTGATATTACGTAATAATAATCCATAATGGATTGAGGATTAAACATATATTAAGCTATTGAGATTTTTAATAATGTTATTTCTTAATCTTTCATCTTAAGGAAGATAAATGATAGAAGATATTGTGTGAAATTAGCTGGTTCAGTGGTGGATGATTTTTTGCATTCTTGTTTATGTTTGTGACCAAAATGGTGAATTGGAAATTTTCAAAGAACTTAATCGAACGATTAATCTGTGTCGTTTCTTCGGGTATATATAATATATAATTGTGTATCCTATAAGAATGTGAAAAATCTGTACATGGTCAAAAATATAGTAAATCTAGCTAGCTACCTAAAAAACTTTTGAGTATAATATGATCTTAACTATTGTTCATATCTATGATTTTATTTATTTTTGTTGATTCAGAGTTACATACTATATTAGCAAGGACAATAAAAATTATCATCACAGAGCAATGGACGAAACTCGGCCTAAACCCTTCCCTATGTCAAGGAGACCGAAAGTAAAGGAGACAAGAAATTGCATCGACCAGTTGAATCATATATACAACGGATACAATTTATGAACAGAACCTCTGAAGCTTGGACGAATCGATATCTAATCTTCTAATTCAGGGCGCTCGGTTGACATTCATTTTACAAAGGTTGGCTTCAGGTAGGAAAAGATTTACCACTTGTTGTGAGAATTGCAAAATTGCATGTTGATAACAATTACAGTTTAGTCTTTAATTGAAAAAAGTTGCTTTGAACATGCGTTCTTGTACTTCTCACCTTTAAAGTTGTTTATTTTGAGATATAGAGAGCATAAATAGGTAAAATAATGGAAGTTTGGTTGGTTATTCATGGAGTACATAAAACTTCCTTCACAAAAATGGAGTTTTACACATCTGCAAAACTGACTGAATATTGGTTGAATCACTTGCAGAGAAAGGGTGTGCGCTGCAGCCCGCCAAGAAGAGGAACTGGGAACTGAGAACCGAGAAGACGGTAGTATAACCTGTAATCTCATCGGTTCGTAGGAACCACAAATGAGACACCTGCAGCTGTACAAACAAACAAGCCATTGGAGAAAAGTTTAAAGCTCCAAATAAGAGATCAAGTTGTGTAAACATATGATAAATGAATGAAAAATGACATAAGCAGCAGTAGAACATCCTAGAACTGTGAAAGAAAGAGTGAAAAGCTGCAAATTATCAGATGGGGCAAAGTAAGCTACTCAGCTCCATAACAGGGCCCAGGCCTCTGCTTGTTAATGCTTTGAATAAGTGGAGGAAAAGGACACCAGCTTTATACTTTTTACTTCTGAGCTTTGGTACTTAAATTCACACTGCCATTTCCTGCCCTGATAAACAGTTAACATGAGAATCATTTCATAGTTTGCCTCTAACAAGTCAGAATCTACTGTTCTTGATGAGCTTCCCATCCTTTGAATTGCAAAATGCAAAATAAGACCAGGAGAAATAGTACAATCTCAAACTGAAATGGCAGAAGTAAAAAATATGCCTCAATTGAGGTATGATTGTACTACTCTATCAGCCTGTCCACTGTCCTGAGCAACAGTGAAAGTTTGTCACTTTTTTATCTGTACTTTTTTTTTGTGTCATCTTTTTTTGAAACACTGTCTATTTTACTTTCACATACCCAATACAACAGACAGTCCATATCCTCTTACACTTTGTCTAATCTCAAAAAATTTCTCATCTTTATTCTCTTTTACAATACAATCATTTCAGGTGAGGTGAGGTGAGCCCGCGTGTCATATTTCACTTCAGAATTTCAAATGAGCAGAATGATTCTGCATGGATAAGATAAACATCAAGATTTCCTTTTGCACAAAAAAGTTAGGCTGGAAATAATACAGACCATTAAATAGCCAATAAAAATTAATATTATAAAGAGTATTTTATCAGGACACTGTAATTAAAGAAGACTACAAAAGATTGGATAGGGTCAAGCAGTTGATGCGCTTTTGGAGAGAGCCCCTGCTGCAAATAAAAGATTCCTCCGAGAGAACTAATCCAAAAAGAATATGAAATCGTTAGGTTGGTCAGAAAACTGTTACAGGAAGAAATAAGGTTAAAAGTAAACTATGTTACCCGTAAACTGTAGACCGGAGTCGACTTGGTCGGTAGAGTTTTCAGGGATCTAAGTCTATTGGCAGTACCACTTTTGCTGATAAAGAGAACAGAAACATTTATATTTTGCATACGTCAGAATTTAACAGAAACATTTTGAAAATTTTTAGGGAGAACTCACTTTTCATCCGTTCTTGGTGCCTTTGTGCTTGAAGTTACGTCCCATAATTTTACCGTGCAATCCGCAGAGCCCGAGGCAAGGAGGGAGCCCTCGCAACTGAAATGGTAAACATCAATGTCAACATCTAAACTTGAATACAAGCAGGAATGTGGGGTGGGGGGAATTTTTCTTTTTATCCACCTGAAAGCAAGGGTCCAAACGCATGATGTGTGTCCAATCAATGGTGTAACACAGCGCCCAGTGGACAGGTCCCACATCATAATCGTACCATCTTCATCACCAGATGCCATGAACCGACCATCAGGTGACATTGCCAACGACAGAATCATACTCCTGTGACCAATGAAAATTCGGACACATTCCCCACTCTGGACATCCCACAATCTAACTGTTTTGTCACTTGAGCCTGTTGCGATGTAGTTGCAGTTGGCATGCCATTGAACGCACTGAAGATAGTGTGAGACTTGTTATGGATCACTAGGATCATGCAACAAAAATATCATCAAGCAAAAGCTTAAATGTTGTTCTTAAAGACAAGGTTTTAAACTATGAAAATTAGTGTCCTAACTTCCATCATTAAAGGGGGAGGGAAAGATACTGCCAGAAGACTAGTAACAAATAGGAAAAAACGACTGCATGCAGGGAGAGGGAATGACAAAGGAAAATGATTCAAATTTTAGGGGAGAAAGACAACCCAAGCAGGAAGAAAAATGGCACAACTATCTGCTTGAAAATTATACTTATTACAATAGATCTGTTTTAGGGATATCTGAATGCTGCATGCGAAGGGCCTACATTACAACCGTTCCAACTTATAAGTTAGCAATAAAATATCTGAGAAAGAATAGAGAATGAACTGCTCACATCCACATCAGATAGATGCCCTGCCATGATCCTTAAAGGTTGAATTCTGTCCATGGACCAGATCCTCGCAGTTCTATCATGTGAGCAACTAGCAAAATAATGTCCAACCGGACTAAACTGCACCAGGGAATCAAGTGTAACGAAGAAGTCTTTAACATTGCACAATATATCTTGAAGTCATAAAGAAAAGAGAAAAATCCAAATACCACATGCAGATTAAAATGAAGTATTAACAGAGAAGTCCCATTCAAACTAAGTGAGCTACCTCTCTACCTATAAAGAATTAACAAACTATAAATTTGAAAACACAAAAAAAAAAAAAAGAAGCAAGTAATGACATTAGAATTAAAGGAACAACTTGTGAAGGAAAAAGAAACAAGATAAAAATGATCTTAGATTCAGTGTTCATCCCTATAGTAAACGATTCTCTCAGTCTCTCTTGAACCAATATATTTAACAAATGTATATTTTATTAAGCAAGTCCATGCTCTGTCCGTGTCTTAGTATTTCAGAGAAATGATGTGCCATAGACCATGTCCCTTTTTTCTTTTCCTTGAAGAGTTATGGGGTATATCTTTAGGGAGAGAAAAAAAAGTTGTTAGAAACCAAGTATCATCAGAAAGTTGTGGGGTATGTGTTAAAAGAGAAATAAGCGTTGTTTTAGAACACAAGCTCAAACTCAAGAACACTTGAAGTAGAATTCAGCTTCGTACTCTTACTGTATAAGCTTCAATTAACATAGTTTCCAGAGAATGTTCTTCCTTTTCCTTCACGTATTATTTCTTTTTTTGCCGGGGGGCTTCATTTCCAGCATGGGCCTTTTTTTTTT